CGGCGACAGGCAAGGGGGCGGTCGACCACGCGCTGCGCCAGACGTTGAGGCAGCGCCGCGTCAGTCAAAGTGGGCCGGACAGGGCGGGGGCGAGCCAGGAGCGGGGGGACGGGGCCATGCGGGTTACCTGGGGGAAGCCCATGCGGATGAGGCTGGCGGGCGCGTCCTGCTGCAGGGCGGGCGGGGGGGGCGCGTGCTCCAGCAGCAGGTCGCGCAGGTGGCCCTGCACCCGCCACCAGTCCATGCAGCGCGTCAGGCGGGCAGCCGGCCAACCAGTCCAGCCCGGACACAGCGGACAAGGCAGAGGGAGGGAGGGGAGACGGGCGGGGCGTCCATCACTGGGCGGCAGGCATGGCAGTGGAGGCGGGCCGTACCTCGGAGGTGGCGATGGTGTAGGTGCCCCCGGTGAGGCGGGCCAGCGTGGCGCAGATGTACACCTGCACCGCGCCACGTGCTAGGCAGTCAGGAGCAGGGGGACGCACCGCCAGGGGCAGGCGGGGGGCACCAAAGGAGCAACGAATGGCGGGAGCATCCATGGAGGCTGTGGGGGAGCGCAGACCGGCGGCCGTGCGACGGGGGGCGAGGGCCCCACCTCGGCGGCGAGGCCCACGACGGAGCAGCGGATGCGGTGCTTCTTGCAGGCGGCGATGGCCGCGTGGATGTCCCCCGGGTCGCATGTCGTCAGCGCCGACGACACGACCACCACCTGCACCAGCACCGCGAGAGCACGGCCGCAGCAGCAGTCAACGGGCATCCCAAGGAAAGCGCGCCAGAGAGCGGTCCGGCCTGGAAGCCAGGTGGAGCTGGAGGGAGAGGCCAGGAGACAGGAACGGAGGGGCCCCCTCGCCCGGGCAGCGCCACCACTGGGCAGAGTGTGCACCGCGGCGGGGGTGGGCGGCGGGCGTACCTCGCGGTGGCCGTAGGCGGGGATGGGCGCCAGCGCGGCGCGGGCGAGGTCCAGGCCGTTCTGCAGCGACGCCTCGCCGTCAGCACCCAGGCTCGCCCTGCAGCAGCAACGCGAGGAGGGGGGGGAGAGCCGCAGCCGTCGTTCAGCAGGGAGAGGAGACAGCCAGGGAGAAGGCCCTATGGACGGTCTGATAGGTCCTCTGGATATGCAAAACATCGCCGAACATAGGGATGACAATGGAGAAGCGGGAATCAGGAGAGCAGATTTAGGTGCTCGACGGAAATTAGGTGCAAATCCGGAAGAGCCAAGGGAACGGGGGCAGCGATAAGAAGAAAATCTAAGGAGGAACGCAAGTCGAGGGGAAAAGAAAAGCAAGCACGCCAGACCCCCCTGGGGACTAAGAAGAAGAAAGACAGGCTGTCGGAGCAGCAGAACAGAATACGCAGCTGCGATGGGGGGAGATAATGATCATGGTCAAGGAATTTGCCAGCACTCCGGAAACCAGGTTCAGCGCACGCTCACACACACACATGAAGTGAAGGGTACGGGCATGTTGGGTAGGAAACGGAGGGTACTGACTCGGAGAAAGGGGTTGGGGGAGTTAAGACGGGGGTGGGAGGGAGAACAACAGGGAGAGGGGGCAAGGGCGGCGGTGGCTCACTTGAGGGCGGTGATGTGGGACTGCGGGCTGCCGCTCAGCTCCGTCAGCTGTGCACACACAGAATATGGCGCTCATCAGCGATGCGAAAAGGCCATAGGGGGTCACCCAACAAGCTAGGAGCCCAGCTGACGTGGTGGGGGGGCGGCTCACCCGCTGGGCCACGCCGGCGCGCAGCGCAATGATGCCCAGGTGGCTCAGCGGGTTCTGGTCAAAGAACTCGCGGATGAACACCTGCAGCGCACGACACCGCCCTCAGTCCCCGTCTGGCGCGCAGGCAGCCTCCCCATAACACAGTGGCACAGAGGAAGCGCGTTCCGGGCACGGACATCAGTAGCAGCGGCAGCAGGGCGGGCGCGCACCTCCACCAGCGCTGCCACGACGGCCATGCGCGACGGGTGGAAGTCAACCTCGGCCGCCGCGCGCGAGAGGTCCACCACCTGCCAGCGCAGCAGCAGGAGCAGGAGGAGGGGGCGTCAGGGGGAGAGGGGCCGAGGAAGCGGCGAGGCGGGCGGAGCAGGCAGCGGGCCACAGGAATGGGGGGAACAAGAAGGGATACAGAGGAACCGGGCAAAGGTGGTCGAACAAGGCAAGGCGATACAGTCGCACGCGCTGGTTGGGGAGCACAGGACGAGCATGCCTCGGCGCAAGGCTTGATCAAACAGCAAGGATGGCAGGGCGCACCAGGACGAGGTAGCGAATCATGCCCCGCCGAATACGTGCGGCAGGCGCAGCGAGGTGCCTGCGAGAAAGGCAGGCACGGGCGGGTGCCCCCAGTCATCATTGAGAAGCGGGGCAGGCATGAGGGGCC